TTCCAGCGGCGATCAACGTCATGTGTGTTTCGGCATCCAATCTAGGACTCGGCAGCGGCTCGGGATGGGGGTGGAGTGGAGGCATTGTGGTGCAATCGTCAGACGATGGCCAGACCTGGCAGGACGTTGCTGCCGTGGTCAATTCGAACACTGTGTCGTTTGCGAACCCGGCATCAACGCCAGCAGCAACGCCCGCGCCAACGCCCGCACCAACGCCTGCACCGACGCCAGCAACACCCCCCACACCAGCGACCAGCACTGCATCTGCAACTGGAGATCCCCACTTGCGAAACGTTCTTGGTCAGCGGTTCGATTTGATGAAGCCTGGTCAGCACGTGCTGATAAATATCCCTCGCGGGGAGCACCCCGAAAAAGCCTTGCTTCGTGTTCAGGCCGATGCGCGACAATTGGGTGGAGGCTGCGCAGACATGTACTTCCAAGAGTTGAATATTACAGGGTCTTGGGCAATCGCAAAACAAGCTGGGGGATACCGTTACACCGCATCGCAACATGCCACCGAGGTTCAGGCCTGGCTGGCCTTGGGAAAAGTCGAAGTCAAAGTCGTTCATGGGCGCACAGAGACAAACCTCCCGTATCTGAACTTCTACGTCAAGAATCTCGGGCGAGCAGGATTTCCTGTCGGAGGCCTGCTCGGAGAAGACGACCACTCCGACGCAGGCGCGATTCCAGAAGCGTGCCATCGCATAACGAGCCTCGACTTGAAATCTTCCGCAGTTGCAATGTAATGGCGGAGACAGGCGCGTGACCACGGCACGATGTTCGCAAGCTCAGTGGTGGACATGATGTGGACACTCTCTTGAGTAGGTTCGCGTGCATTTCTCGATCCAACCAGGGAGTCTTCGTCGGGCACAGACCGCAGGCTCCCTGGCTGATGCATCATCATGATGGCGATGGTGGTAGTGCTGGTGATGATGAGGGGGGTGTGGAGTTGGAGAGACGGAGAGTGGGCCGACGGTTCAGCAAAGCCCCAGGGGGGTGCCCCTCGGAGAGGACCTCTCGCCCCCACAGCTCGGCTTCACAGCGACCGCACCGTGGGCCAGCGACAGGGCCCTCCCGTAGAGAAAAAAGCTCGCCGTCTCTTCGCCGAGCCCGGGCAGGTCGTCCTGCAGACTTTTTCCTAGCAGGCGCGTGCCGAGGCCTCTGCAGCCTCCTTTTTTGGCGTGAGCTGAACGCCCGGAGGCAGTCAGCCAGGCACAGCCCGTGCCTCGCAGGGCCTGGTGGAGCTTGGAACGTTTGCCTCGTCGCCAGTGCAGACCTTTTGTACACGTCAAATCAGCTGCGCGCCGCCTTTCGCTAAAAAAGATTCCTGGCGAAGGACCCAACCATATGCAGCTGTGAGTACCGCGTTGTGTCGGTACCGCTCTCGATGGAAACCCCTGTGGGGCCACGATCCTCGTGAAGGGCGTGCCGAACTTTGCGGGGGGACGCATGCAAACCCTGCCGCTGAAGCCTTCGGTGGAGCTTCTGCGGGGCCACGATCCTCGTCAGGGCCTCAGGGTGTGCCGAAATGGGCGGGGGGACGCATGTAAACCCTGCCGCTGGGGCCTTCGGTAGAGCTCCCCATGGCGCCGCGATCCTCGTGGGGGGTGTGCCGAAATGGGTGGGGGGACGCATGCAAACCCTGCCGCTGGGGCCTTCGGTGGAGCTCCGATCCGAGTGAGGAGTGTGCCAAAATGGGCGGGGGGACGCATGCAAACCTGCCGCCGGGGCCTTCGGTGGAGCTTCCTATGGGGCCACGATCCTCGTGAGGGGTGTGCCGAAATGAGCGGGGGGACGCATGCGAACCCTGCCGCTGGGGCCTTCGGTGGAGCTCCCCATGGGGCCGCGATCCTTGTGATGGGTGCGCCGAAATGGGCGGGGGGACGCATGCAAACCCTGCCGCTGGGGCCTTCGGTAGAGCTCCGATCCGAGTGAGGAGTGTGCCAAAATTGGCGGGGGGACGCATGCAAACCTGCCGCCGGGGCCTTCGGTGGAGCTTCCTATGGGGCCACGATCCTCGTGGTGGGTGTGCCGAAATGAGCGGGGGGACGCATGCGAACCCTGCCGCTGGGGCCTTCGGTGGAGCTCCCCATGGGGCCGCGATCCTTGTGATGGGTGCGCCGAAATGGGCGGGGGGACGCATGCGAACCCTGCCGCTGGGGCCTCGGGTGGAGCTCCCCATGGGGCCACGATCCTCGTGAGGGGTGCGCCGAAATGGGCGGGGGGGCGCATGCAAACCCTGCCGCTGTGGTTTTCGGCGGAGCTCCCTGCGGGGCCACAATCCTTGTGAGAGGTGTGCCGAAATGAGCGGCGGGCCGCATGCGAACCCTGCCACTGGGGCGTTCTGTGGAGCTTCCCATGGGGCCGCGACCCTCGTGAGGGGTGTGCCGAAATGGGCGGGGGGGCGCATGCAAACTCTGCCGCTGGGGCCTTCGGTGTAACTCCCTACGGGGCCACGGTCCTCGCGAAGGGTGTGCCAAAATGAGCGGGGGGACGCATA